TATGTCCCTTATATATTGAGATTAAAGGGATATTCGAGACTGACCAAGTGGAACGACAGGTTTCGTAATATTTCTTTTAGGAAAAAGGTTTTAAAAATTTAAAGAAAACTTGAAGTGCGCTTTCATTGAAATAGATTGTAAATAAGATGAAACTATATGTGTGTGTGTGAAAAAGGCCTGAATGTGTCTTTTAACATAAATAGCTATAGTAGATATAAATAATAACATAGGAAAGATGAATTGCATTCGCCGGTATTAGACACGATCTTCTAGGAGAGTAAAGCTTAGCTTGATTTTCCAAGAAACTGACAATATAACATTGTCTACCAGAAAAAGCGTATTTATAATGTTTCTTTTCCACGCAGAATTGTTGAGTTACAACACGATTTTATTACGAGAATAATAGGGCATTCTTTTAATATGTAGTTTTTATTATAAAATTACGAGTGATGTTACAATTATGAAAGAATCCGAAAAAATAAGTTTAATATTCAATTTTTTTCCAAATTTTACATTCTTATGTTCGTCTAATCATTTAGATTATTAAGTTCGTTACAGAAGCTTGTTGTATCTAAACTTTTGGGAGCTTTTGAATTTTTTAAGTTTTTGGATAATAAGACACATTTTAACATGAGATCTAAATATGGCACGTTAATATTTTACAAGATTACATCGAATATTATTTTTTCTTGTTTAATTCTCAATGAATAGATTAACAAAATTTTGTCTCAGAAAGACAGCACAAAATTTTTAAGAACATAACTTTCAAAAATACACTTTATTTTAACAAATAACTAATTGTTTTGAACAAAAAAAAAAAAATACTGCTATGAAAATGTTTACTTTTTAAAAGGAGAACTTTAATTGATCCCCATTCAGCGATTACAATATCTCCCATTTTCCTCAAGAGGGTTTTAGCTTTCCTAAAAACGGGAGTACCTTCCATGATTGTTAAACGGAATGAACAGTGAAATGCGTTAGCCTGTTTTTATACTGTTATTGGAGATGATAACAAGCAATGATTTTCAATTTTCACTTGATTTAAAAGGCAAAAAATATATACATATATAAAAAATCGTAAATTAAAATCCAAAATGAAACTTATCAGAAAACGGCATATGCATTTTATTTTTCTTTATCTCAATATTGCACACATAACAGGTTATTTTTAAATGTTGAAAATGTAGCATTATACTCGAAAATCTAACATCTTACATTTTATTCCAATCTAATCAATAATACATCCTTTATTGCATTCAAACTAAGTTACTGATCTTGATGCTATAATCAACGCTAAACATAACATGGACTCTAAAGAGAATCAAAGTAGTGGGTTTCTCAAACGAAAAAATAAAGGTATTATTAAGACCTCTCAGGACCCTTAACAGATATCCGTGCAGTCGAAAAATGCATCCTTCTTCAAACCAATATAACTTAGCAATAAAACGAAACAATAATTTGAAATTTTTACTACATGATAATCATATATATGTATTATTTCTGATATTTTCAGATAATTTGAAAAAAAATTTAAAAAGTTATCAAGAAATAAAAATTGGACAATTTTTCAAAAATATGAAAATTAGTATTTTACACCGCGCAGGATTCTGAAGTACAAAATAGATCGAAATTTACAAAATTTATTTTACTTGGCATGAAAATGTTTACTTTTGAATTTATACTGACTTTTAAAAAATTTAGAGAAATAAAATAAGTTTAAATACAATTATAACACACATACACGAAAATTTTAAAAATTTAAGAAAAAAATTAATTAAAATTCAAATAAAAAAATGTTATTACTTTTTTTTTTTTGAAAATTGATGTATAAGTGATGAAGAGCCTTATTTTGAATACGTGTATAAAATGTCAAATTGTTACCATAATGAGTTTCTGAAAAATCTTGCGTAAAATCTTTTTTTTTTTTTTGCGAAAAATGAAGTCAAAGATTAAAAAAGGGTTTTCGTTTAAGTTTCACTGCTTATTTCTAAATAACTTCGGATGTTTTGAAGGAATCAACACAATTTTGGTACCAAATTACTCAGAAATATTGAGGCTGTATCATGTATTCTTTTCAAAATTTTGAAAAATTTGCAATTTAAGAGTCCTGTGAGCTATTAATGAACTTGACTTGAAGATTCTATGCAGCATATTGCAGGAAAATGGGATCCTTGCTATAAAAATAAAATTGAAATTCTTGAAAAGGCAAAAAAAAGTTTCGTCGGTTCTAGTTACTAATATTCCGAGTTTGAAATCACGACGAGCTATTTCATGTAATTTTTCTAATAAAATCATCAATAATACATTTGAGTGCGTTAATATTTTAAGCGATGTTATTTTTTCTGTACCAGAGAGAAGTTTAAAGAACAATTACTTATTTCAGGATAAATTTATCAGAAGTAATTATACAGGTAATTTTTTAATCTACATATATATAAGTTTAAGACCCAGCTGTGTGAAGAATCTGATATTTTTCATGTACTCAAAGGTTTTGAAATATAAAGTTTTATGGTTTTCGAACTCTAAACATATATTACTTTTTATTTGCAACGTTTATTAGTGATTTTTCGGTTTTCAAATTATGTTTTTAATACTTTCCCTTTAATATGTATGTATTTTTAAAACTAATTTTTTACATCTCCTCTGGATAGATGTAGCGTCTGATTGTAGTAAATTTTACGAATCTTTCTTTTCGTTTTATACCACGCACTCTATAATATGTGTCTTTTTGTCTGTGTGTGCTGTGTATATTTTCTTTAAATAAATCAAAGTATAATACCAAAGAGTATCGATACAAAAGAATTAAATCATCAATTTTTCAGTCACGCACTATTTTCACGGGATTTGTATGAACACAAAAATTTAAATATATTATCGCTTTAAACATACTTTTCTGAAAATGCAAGATATAATTCCTGTTGAAAAAATAAAACAAAATAATGAACTTCAAATGTCTTACAAATAAAATAAAAAAGCAATATAAAAAAACTAAAGTCAAGTCCAACTTATATATGTCAACAAAGAAAAATTTTATTTTAGTAAATTAAATATAATTAATTAACTAATATTTGTAAAAAACTGTATTAATATCAAGTGCCATCCACTACAAGTTTAAAAAAATATATTTGAAGCCAAGAAGAAAAATCGTTAGAACAACTTACTGGCGTCATCTGCTTCAGCTAGTTAGTTGTAACTTCGTCAGATATAACGAAGAGTAAATTTAAAATTAAAAAAATAAAGTTTAATTAAGGAATTAAAATTTGAAAAAAAAAGTGTATTAACATCAAATGTCATGCACTTTAACATCAAGTTTTAAAAATGCATTTGAACTTTGAGCTTCAGTGGCTGAATAAAAAGTGTATTATTAACTATTGAAAATTTGAACAAGATATACATATATATAGTTGCAAGAGGCTTGCACCTCTCTCTCGGGCACCTAGATGTGTGGGAGGTAGGGAAGAAAAACTCGACATGATCCAGTTAATCTATTTATTTATCACACAAAGAACGAACACAATTTCAACTAATAATAGTAAAAGAATGTCTCCATGTTAACTGTGAAAGTGGAACAACGACTGTAAAACGTGAATGATTAAGAGACTATCAAAATTGATCCTAATTTTACAAAGTATCTAACCTATCATCCGATTTAATCTAATATCAATTCAATCACAGAGATCAATCGTCACCAAAACTTCTTACTAATAAGTTATTAATCACAATAATTCAAATATGATACCTTCAGTAGCAATCTCACCTGATGCGAGTATAATTTCTTCCCTACTCTCTATTCAAGCTAGAAAACTTCGACTATATATATATATATATATAGTAAGTTAATTTAAATATCACGAGTTTTTCTTCTTCCGAAGGGTTGGCTGTGAATAACGCGAATTGATAGCCCAAAGATTTCCCAAGATGATTAATTGAAGGAACGCGTATAGATCCGTCACATAGTATAATAAAGTAAAATAAAACAATAAGTGACAAAATTGTATTTCCTACAATGCCAAAAAAGAAAGAAATTGGATTCTAAGAAACACATCAAGAAAATAAATGGTGCAAGGGAATATTGTACCAAAAAATATGTAGAGCAGGAATTGAAAAAAGTATTACTTATTGCATGCCCTCACTCCAGAAAAGTATTCTTATTTGTGAAAAATTTCTGATAACCAGAAGCATTTCTCGAAATGTCCAGGAATGTAATATTCTCAATTCTCCTGGGTTGGTAAAATTTCCCTTTGCTTGATAGGGTATGAATGTTAAATCTTCTGTCAAAATTCGTGGAAGTTTGATCTGAATTTCGCATTAGTGTCAATCAGAAAGAATCAGTCTGTTTCGCCAATCCGACATTATTATTCAAATAAATGCGAGAAACATTCGTTGATCAAGAAAGCTTTCTCGAGACTTTAACCCTCAGAGGAGATTGGGTTCCGAGAGTAATGAGCGCAAGTCAGAAGGGCACGTTCGTTTAGCATACAATTAATGTAACATAAGACGTTACTTAATAATCGCGTATACAAGAAAAATAATAAGAAGAAATCTCTTTTAGAGGAAATCTAATGAAAATATTTTAAAATTCTTATGTGGCCTTTTTTAAATTAAACGAGTGTTATAGTCCGGTTTCTAATTTTAAATTTGGAATAAAATATATAAATGACATTCGCTGCCAAAGCTATAGAAAATGTTTGATGGTTTGGTTTTCCAGTATCTAACGGAGTATATATAACAATTGATATAAATAAATTAAGTCAATTCCTACTTAGATCAACAAAGAAAAATTTTATTTTAGTTAATTTTTATTAAATATTTACGATTAGTATAAGTATGTATATACATATGATAAAATAACATCATTAAGAGTCAAAATAGAAAGTGATTTTCCTTTCTATATTTGGTGCTGGAATGCTATTTTTGTTTGTTCCTATTTCTTCATTAATTAAATTTAATTACTCCGATAAATAGTATAGTAAAAAAAATCAACATTCTCAAAAAAATAGACCATTCCGTGTGATTCGAACCCACGAACTTTGGATGAGAAGTCCAAGGCACTATCCATTGCGCTACAGGGACACAACGAGCGATTTTTCTTTTTATGTATGCTGTTGGACTATTATTTTCTTTGTTGCTATTTATTTATTTTTCAATTTAATCAATGAGTTAATATTTGAAAAAAGGTATTAACCTCAAGTGCCATCCACTACAAGTTTAAAAAATGAATCTGAACTAGAATGGATGTATAGAAAGTATTTTATTAACGATTGAAAATTATATATATATATTTAAAGTAAACTAATAATAGTAATTGAAAAATGGCATTCGCTGTTAAAGATATTTAAAAGCTCGATGGTTTTGGTTTCTAGCATCTAACGGAATTAAAAAATTATTTTGCGAGAAAAGTCGATAAGGAAAATCTTCAAAAAATATGATAATTAAAAAAAAATGACATGTCATTAAAATCATACAATGAAACAAACGTCATTATTTTCATTGAATTATTAACTAGAAATTAAAAATTCAAATTGAGTGTTTCGATTAAACGAATAAGGGTGAATATTGAGTATATTATTATTTAATAAATGCATGCATTATATTTTGTAAATTTGATTTGTTTAGCAAAATAATGCATTCAAAATTGATAAAAATAAAAAAATAAGTTCTGAATAGTTAGAACCCTAGTTATTTATAAAAAAGAATGTGTGTCATATAGAAGTTTTTCGAAGTCAAAAGATGTACCCAAAATATGTCACGATTAAAAATAGTATGAAAAATATAAAGCAAATATTATATATATATATATATATATATATATATATATATATATATATATATATATATATATATATATATATATTTTGAATATATATATATATTGAATATATATATATATATATATATATACTCTTCAACAAATTAACAAGACTTACAGTAATTTGAGAAAAGCATAAATATGTATTTTTCAATGACTCCACTGTTACTGAATAGTAGATTTTTGCATACCCAACCCTCTTTTTTTAATCGGTTTTTTGGGGAAAAGAAACCTTATTTCACGGCTGATTTATTTTTAAAATTTTGGATAGTTGATTCTCTTACCCAAAAAGGAGTGATTGAAAATAATCAATTAACTGTTAATTTATTTTTTAGAATTTTGTCTTGTTAAAGTTTGATTGCAAGATTGCTTTTAATTGAGAATCAATTGCTGGATGCACTCTGAAAAAAATCCATGCAATAAACGTCTAGAATTATAAAAAAGAATTAGAAAAAAAATAGGAATAAAAAATTAATTATTTAAAAAAATAATCTACATGTCAAAACATTTTGGAAAGCAATTTATTTTTTCAACGGGTCTTCAGCGGAAACAATCTACATTAGATTTTTCTTAACGAAGGAAGCATAATTTAAAAAAGGACTGTAATTTTGATTCATCTTGCAGCAAACAAATCTTTAAGTAGCAACAAATGAGGAATTAATTCCGTCTTTGGTATTTTTAAAGCAAAAACTTTTATCTTCATAAATGGGCAAATCTAAAAATTCATGAAGTTTTTATATCTAGTCTCCACGAGATTTTTCGAATTAAACAAAATCCTTTATTTCATTTCCAAAGTCTTTTGCATAACGCGGCGCGTTTCTTAAACTGTGGAGCACCCCCCCCCCTCCAAGAGGGGCGTGATAACTCTACCAGGAGCGCACAAGCATATTAAAAAGTGGAAAACAAAACCTTATTTTTTAAAAAAAAATATTATTAATTTACTAAAAGTAAACAAACAAATTCATTCTGGCATAATAAAGAATAAAAACTCATTTAGACTGATATAATACACTTATAAATGTATCAGTACGGCACAATGTATTTTATACTTAATTTAACAATACTGAATTAAGAACAAGTTTTTTATTATTACCATTGACCTCATGGGCTTGTAGTATATGAAATTATTTACAAAAATTAACACCTATCTTGATAATTTGTATGGTTCTTAATTATTCTCTTATCTGCTGAATTAAAGTTACGTGATTCGTTCCCCAACGCCCCCAATTTCCTTGTAGGCGAGCGTATGTGATGCAATGAGAGGGGGGCAGAAAAGGAATAAATAAGAAAATTCTCTGATTTAAGTTAATCTTTCGTAAACACTGTAAAGGTCAGTTTATTGCATTCCAATATCTTCGGGATAATTTTATGGATAGCAGTGCACAAAAAACATCGTACTTCGAAAAGATTTATATATACGTCCAGGACAAATAACACTTTGGCTGGGCGAGACGTTTTTATACGCTTAAAGTCGTATTGTAGCTTTAGTGTCAAAGTGTATTATTGAAAAAAATCCATTGTTATTGCATGGAGAGGGGCACGATCAAAATTGTGGTTAAATATTGGGTCGCAAATATTGAAACTTTGACAAGCACTGCCATAACGGAAAAAAATAAATATTTTAGTTGTAGATGATAAGTAGTTTTATTATGCATCATACTTGATACACAGGGTTGGTGAAATTAAACGTCCCCTACTCTTAGGGCCCTGGAGGCTTTTCTACTGGTTCGAAGAAAAAAATATTTGGGCAACAGACAATTCAGATGAGGCGCTCGAGGTTTCGCAAATAAAAAATAGTTAAAAAACTGCCAATAGAGAGCGCTGTAATTCAGCACATTCCAGAAAAATATGTTAGTATCACGCACAATAAAAGGAAGATGTTGTTCTTACCACAATAAGATAAGCATTGCAGAATGCCAAAGTTGCCTAAGAATGCACTTCTGGTGAAGCTATACAACCGCAATGGAGTGAATGCAGTGGAAGCTGTCACAGAGTTCCGCTGCCTCAGGAAACAATGACGTGGACCGATTTTGGAGTGTGCTCTTAAAGACGTGACGGTAAAATTCGAGAAAACATGACAGCTAAGCGTTTTACTTGGAAAAGGACGAAAAAGAATCAACACCATTGTCGTAATGGGTATTGCTACAGTTGTCGGGGAAGCAAACAGTGAATAATCTCACTTCACGGAACTGTCAGTGTACCGGCAATTTCACGTACCCTTGATACCTACTCTACTGTTCGACATATGATGGTTAAAATTTTGAATTTCTACCCGTATAAGATTCAAGTGGTTCAACAATTGAAACCGCACGAGCCAGACACTCGCAAAACTTTCGCGCTAGAATTTCTTTCAAGAAGGATGGTGGATGATTCATTGTCATGGAACATACTGTGGACGGACTAGGCCCGTTTCATATCAATATGCAAATAAATAACCATAATTGTCTCTTCTGTGGGACAAAATCCCCCCACGCTGTGCATGTTAAAGCTTTGCATGATATGAAAGTGAACCTATGATGCAGGTTCACTGCTTCATTCATTCTCGGGCTTTATTTTTTTAAACGAGTGACCCCACAATGATTTACAACCTGTTCTGTTCAAGGGAAATGGTATCGTGAGATGTTACTGACCTAAGTTATTCCTACCCTGGTCTAAAAACACCATATACCTAGGTGTAATCCTAGACAAAAGACTCATTTTAAACAACACATTATCCGCATTCGCAGAAATTTTAACATTTCCGTTGCTAAAGTTTTCCCCTTAATTGCACGGAAATCCTGTTTAACCTTAAGAAATAAATGCTTATTTATAAACTCGTTCTCACAGACCAATTCTCCAATACGCTAGTCCAATCTGGGGCCATGCATCCTATTCTAATATCAAGATGCTGGAATCAGCCCAAAATAAAATAATTAAAATAATAACCAACTCTTCACGGTATATGAGAAATGAAGATCTCAGATCCGCACTAAAACTTAAAACTCGCAAAGATTTTTTCAAAAAGATAGCTACCAAATTTTTCAATAATATAGATTCTCATACTAACCGAGCATTTGCTCGTATCGAAAAATATAATATTAATCCTTTATTTAATAGACCTCGTAATATTTTAATTTAATTCTCGTTATCTCATCATTTTGTCAATCTAAAACTTCTTTCACTCTCAAAATTAATCCGACTCGCTCTCGACCTATGGGAACAGAGCAGCCCGACCAATAGCGAAGCGAGATCTGGTAACGCTTCGTCTTGGACACACCCACTCCAACGGGTTTCTATAGGCTGCCCCCTGATTGGACCTCTCAGAATCAATCTAATCCATCCTTATAGTCGTCCGTTTTGTGCAAAATTCAGACGAGACGAGATTCTCGGCGTTGCGTGCTGGCTGGTTTTCTCACTCACATTGATTTTGAGTCCGCTAAAAGCGGACAAGTTTCTTATTTTTAAATTACACACACAATTAGGTCTCACCAACACAAACGCACACACAATTTTGCATTCTACATACACAATCATTCCTAAATTTTCATTTAACTACTCATAGTAACTAACTCATAGTAACTTTTAAATTCATAATGATTTTAACTCATCCTATTTTTCTCACTTAATTATTATACAATTATGCAGCAAAGCGCTAAGAGAAAAGCTGAACCCATGTAATCACCCAGTTAATCATGAAGGAGTTTGAGCTTCCCTGCGGGAAGCAGGTACTCCTGTAATCCATCAACTTATAAGTTATTCCTACTCTCTAACAACGAGTCTGCCTACAAGAAGCCATATCCAAGCAGGATGGAGCCCCACCTCACAACGCGAGCTCAGTCCAACAGTTGTTAAGACAGGCATTGACGTGTGAACAGCCGATATTTCTGAACACCTTGGCCTCCTCTACCACCCGATCTCACGCCTTGCGACTTTTGGTTATGGGACCTTTTGAAAGATAACGTTTACCAGGAGCGTTTAACAACTGCGTTAGATTTGAAGAACAGTATTCGCCGCCATAAGCACTGTATCTAGTGGCTATTTTTCTACTATTTTATTTTACTTCAGAGACCTCGAGCGCATCATCGAAAATGTCTGTGTCTTAAATATTTTTCTTTTCGGACAAGTAGAACGAGCTCCACAGGTCTTTCTGATTAACGGAAGTTTAATTTCGCTAACCCTGTATGTAAATAGATATAATTTACTTCATTTGAATAAGCAATGCAATTACTATCGGTATCTATACATTGTGCTTACTTAATCTATTCAGAAAAGATGTCTGTCA